AAAAAAAAAACAAACTACAAACTAAAAGTTCTTTATATATTATATGTATTGTTCTCGAAAAGTCTAGCAATCATTTTTTTTAATTATTAACCCATTAATTGTTATTTCATTGACTAAAATTTGGCAAAGAATGCCATATTCTTTAAGCTATTTTAATTGATAGACTTGAAATTTTTATTACTATTATCTGATTAAAACGAGATTTATTCTAATAATTTTTTTTTTTTTATTACTTAGAGTTCAAAATTTAAGCACCCGTTTAAAATATAATTACCAGATCACATCAGGTAATTCGGCTGACCTGGCTATTCATAGATGGTAACTACTGAGATCACGAATGGCATATACGTTTTTTGCCTGGATCTTTGTATTCCCAATTTTGCACTTGCTGGGATCTGACGTGTAATAAAGATTTCAAATCATCTAAATGTTCAGAAAGCAATTATTATTAAAGGTGGATTCAAATCTACGATGCATAGTTTCATACCGAAGTATGACATATAAAATCGACTCAGGATATAAAGAACCATGTAATAGAGGACTCTGGGTATAAGAAACTTCATTATAACGAACTCTGGATATAACAAACTTAAAATTTAAAATTTACATTATTTCGGCATAAAAAATGCTATGGGTTTCTATAAAAAGAGTAGTTGTCAGGATAATGAACACAGTAAATGTGCATATTATAATGAAAATAACATTCAACCAGCAAGAAGTTTGATGTGTATAGATAAGTAGAAACGAAGATATTGATGATTTCATTAAAAAATTTCAACTTAGAACCTTTTAAATATGAGTATGCAATTGAGTGAATTCCATATCTAATATTACAGAAATTGGTAAAGAAGAATTTGGCTTTACATATTTAGCAATCTGGTTGGATGGCATACTAAAAATTGATGGTGTCTCGATATGCTAAAAGAAAAAATTTAGAAAACTTATTTGGCAGGCTAAGTTGCAATTGCTTATGTTAAAGATATTTCATCGATTATGTAAAATACATTCATGCTGAACTTCAGGGTAGCAATATAAGGTCAATGCACTAATGAAAGTGTGTAATCTTATTTTACAGATCTAGGATTATCTAGAAAGAAAGATGAAAGCGCTTCAGAAGGCGATATTTGTGGTGCCATGTCATGCCCTATGCTATTCCAGAAGTTCTATTGGGTAACGAATTTACACAAAGCAGCTGATTTCTATAACTTAGTGTTATTATGATTGAAATGTCAACCAAAGCTTTTGATTGACGTGATTTTAATGCAAACTTGAAGTTGAGATTAATCATGGATTACGCGGTTAAGATTTACTTCCGAATACCATGCGATATTAATAAGCAATGTATGATTCCGAATTACATAATTACAGATTGGCTTAACAAAATCGAAATCAAAAAAGCAATTCTTATATGATTATCTCTTGATTTATACAATGAAACCAACCTGCCAATCAGAAATCAGACGAGTTTGTTTCAATAATTTACCTGTAATCCGAGTCACCCGGGTAGACCCGGTTAATGGAACTTATACGGGTTCAGGGTCCCTGAAAAATTGCGTCTCTACTACTTTTAGTCATTGGCAAATATTATATCGGAATTCTCTTTTTTTATTTCCCTATTTTCGTTAATATTTTTCCTGTTTTGTATTGTTTATGTTCGGAATGTTCCGGCTAACCCTTGTCATCTTTTATATTGATTCATTGTCTACCTAGGAACTTTTCGGATGTTCAAAATTTATGCAGCCTAAGTTACACGAAAGTACGTTTTCAGAGTCCCCGGTTTGTCTCTTATTCAGGTACTTAAACTTTGATTTTGTGCATATTAATTATTTTTACTTGGACAACTAACATCAATTGTCGTAATAAAAACAAAAAGTTGATATATATGACAATTATTGTGATATCATATTTCGTATAACATATTGATTTACATTTAAACTACTTTTTTGGAGCCATTTCAGATATTAATACTGTACTACTCCCGGAAGAAAAGACAAAGAAAAAGCTTATGTAAGTGTCCAATTGATCCGTTATCAAACCCTTAAAATTATTTATCTATTTAAACACATTTCTTTCCGTATGATTAAAATTTACTTGATGTACTTAATTTTTAAAGAATTTTTTTATTATAGCTCTTCGAGTATATTTGGGAAAATATTTGTAACTGGTTAAATAAGTGTTTCCTCAAAATGTATCGAAATTTGCCGACCAACCGTACCCCAAATGATGAGAAACCTACAAATGAGAATGGTAGAATTAAAAATTCTTCATCTTGCAATTTTTGTAGACTGAAAAAAACTAAATGCATTTATACAAACAATGGTTTGTGCCAGCAATGCATCAAACATAACCAAGTTTGTAAATCCGATCCTCAGAAAAAGAGGGGCCCTAAAAGTTCTAAGAAAGTGACTGATTCAAACACACAATCTAATGCTAATAGGGATTTACAAACTGTGCGTGAAGCATTTTTTCAATTTAGAAATGGAAATCAACAGCTTTTACTCGATTTAATTCAAGAATTTATGACAAATGGAAATTGGGTTGATAATGAACGAACATTAACCAATTTAATTATAAACAGAAATTTGGATGAAAACCCTGAATTGAATCAAGTATATAATTCCCCGAATTATACAACTTATCAGCCTCCTTTCAACTGTAGCATATCAAACAATTCATCTAG